ATTTCAAATGTCAACATCCTTTATCCCATCTCAAATGACACTAACATTTGTGTGCCTGCTGAAGGAGCAAGGCAAGATTAAAAAACAAACAAAGATAAAACAATATAAGAATACGACAACAGGCAGAATAAAGGCATGTCAAAACTGTTCTACTCTTGGGGATAAAGCACTGAATGGAAATTTAGGACAGCTGGCTGCTATATCAAGCTTTAAATTAGCCCAATATAACATATGACTCTCTTAATCTACTCACTAGATCTCCTATTCTCTCTTATCTTCTGTCATCTATAAGTAAAAAATAAGGACAAAATTCTACTATCACCAGAGAAGTTGTAGGGATTGAAATCATAATGTCAAGTAATATTAATTTAACAATACCTACAAACTGAAAAAAAAAATCCAAATACATCAAACCATAGCTAAAAAAAAACTAAAATAATTATAACTGAAAAAGAAAGACTATTAAAATTAACTCTGGAGAAGGCACTGGCAACCCACTGCAGTACTCTTGCCTGGAAAATCCCAGGGATGGGGAGCCTGGTTGGCGGCCGTCTATGGGATCACTAAGAGACAGACACGACTGAGTGACCTCACTTTCACGCACTGGAGACAGAAATGGCAACCCACTCCAGTGTTCTTGCCTGGAGAATCCCAGGGATGGGGGAGCCTGGTGGGCTGCTGTCTATGGGGTCGCACAGAGTCGGACACAACCGAAGTGACTTGGCAGCAGCAGCTGGATTATAAACTTAAGCTAAGATTCAAACACAGGCCTCTCCTGTAGGATCCCACAGATGTTAACAGTGTATTCAAATTTATTCTGTTCACACTGATTGAGTTTAAAATTTTCCCCTTGGGGCAGAAAGAGTCCTCATGGTGCTTACAGAGATTCAAAGCAACAGAAGGAGAGGTAAATAACTATTCCTGCTCATGAAAGCTGGGCATTTGTTACTTATTAAATAAATTATTTAACTTGAATTGGGACATATACAGGTCTTTTCTATGCCTGAGAAAAGTCCGATTTGTTTTTGTAGAAAATTAAAGTCTTGAGCAAAAAGCCTTTTTCATTCATGTTTGAAAGTGGCATACCACTTCCTTACATTTCTCTTTATAATAACACAGGTTGTTTAATCATTAAATGAAGCATTTGATAAAGTAAAACTTTCAACAAAATAAAAAAGTTGCGATTAGTTATACTTGACTAGAAAATTGTGTATAGACATGTCTCAGGCTTTACTTAAGCACAATTCAGGGAAATCACAGTGCATGTAAAGAATGAAACACATTTGTTTATTCTGATTTTGACACAAAGGAAGCCAGAGTAAAAACTCAACCTCTGAAAAATAAAACAAATATTTTTCCTGGGGTTTCAACATATACAAAACATATACATGATACTCCCAAAATATTCCGAGGCCAACTATACTCAAAAGAACTTCAGTGGATATTTAAATATATATAGAGAGAGTATCTTTTTCAAATATTGTGTTAAACACTAGGTTTTTATTTAAAAAAAAAACAGGAAAAGTGAACTACGGAGATTTATAAGATACAAAAATAGCTTGGGTTCACCATTTCTTCTACATGGTAACTTAATCAGTGTATTAACTCTTTCGAGCTGTTGTTACAGATAATTTCAGGATTAAAATGGACTTCAGGGACTTTCCTGGTGGCCCAGTGGTTAAGAATCTACCCTGCAATGCAGAGGACATGGGTTTGATCCCTGGTCAATAAACTAAGATCCCACGTGTTGCTAAGCAACTAAGCCTGCACACTGCAACTACAGAGTCCATGTGCCTCAGTGAAAAAATCCTGTGCCAAAACTAAGACCTGATGCAGCCAAATCAATAAATACATACTTAGAAAAGGAGGGAGAGAGAGAGAGAGAGAGAGAGAGACTTTAAAATCATCAAGCTACCCACTTGATACTTCAATCCTTATAAACACAATCCTACTGAATGCTTAGCCAGTTGATGCCTGCACATTTCTGCTGATGGAGAACACACTCAATGCCAAGACATTTTGAAAAGCCCTGTCAGAAAGCTTGGGCTTCCCTGGTAGCTCAGTTGGTAAAGAATCTGCCTGCAATGCAGGAGACCCTGGTTCGATTCCAGGATCAGGAAGATTTGCTAGAGAAGGGATAGGCTGCCCATTCCAGTATTCTTGGGCTTCCGTGGCAGCTCAACTGGTAAAGAATCTGCCTGCAATGCGGGAGACCTGGGTTCGATCCCTGGGTTGGGAAGGTCCCCTGGAGAAGGGAAAGGCTACCCACTCCAGTATTCTGGCCTGGAGAATTCCAGGACTGTATAGTCTATGGGGTCACAAAGAGTCGGACACGGCTGAGAGACTTTCACTTTCACTTTCATCAGAGAGCTTATCTTGACTCTTTTTTGTAATGCCTACTCAGTTGTTCCAATTCTACTACTTTAGACCTTACCAAGTAAGAAGAGTACCCTTCAAATATTTGTAGACGGTTATAATCTGGGCACTAACAGGATGTTTTCTAATCTTTTGAGTAGGTTTGGTCAATTTCCTCTTAAGACCTTTGGTTTAGAGCTTGGGTGCCCAGACCCAGGGTGATTCTATAAACAAGATAATTCCTGATCACATTCTAGATATAACTTCTATTACCATAGAATAGTATCTCCATATGAAAATCTTCCAAGTTGTCTTTGTATTTTATTCTAAGCTGATACAGAAATATTAATATCTCCTTTTTTATATATTTTTATTTTTTAAATTATGGAGGTATGATAACACATTTACAGGAGACCTGGAAAATTATGAACAAGGTTCATACAGTTCATACAGAACAAGGTTACATACAGTCCCACTATTTAATATCTCCTTTTAATGCACTTTCATTTTATTGAGCTTTGCACATGCTGAACTTTTTTGTTTCCTCTTACAAACTGAAGGTTTGGGGCACCAAGCAAGTACACCAGTGCCATTTTTCCAGTATCTGCTTACTTTCATATTGGTGTCACATTTTGGAAATTTCTCATAATATTTTAAACTTATTATTATTATATTTATTATAGTGATCTGGGATCAGTGATTTTTTGTTACTACTGTAATTGTTTGGGGGCTCCAGAAATCTTGCCTATATAAGATAACAAACTATTTATAATATTCTCTGAACTATCTTCCTGTTATTAGCTTAGTACTACTTTCATCACTCATTCTTCCAGGGTAGTTATTCTAGAACTGGGGACTCTGATCATGTTATTCAACAGGATGGCATACAGACTGCACAGCTTAGTACTTAAAGTCACTCACAGACTCTCTGCCTATCTTCTCAGGCTCTCTCCCTCTCCTTGGGCCTCCCTATTCCCTGAGACACAACGATACTGAAATTACCCCTACAATGGCCTCCAAAGTGTTCAAGTGAAAGGAAGAGGCACACATTTCTCATTTTAAATCAAAAGCTAGAAATGATTATGCTTAGAGGCACATTGAAAATTTATATAGGTTGAAAGTTGATATAGGCAGAAAGTTAGGCCTCTTGTGCGGAAGAGTTAGCCAAGTTGCGGATATAAAGGAAAAGTTCTTGGAAGGAAATTAAAAGTGTGTCTCCAGTGAACACAAAAATGATAAGAAAGTAAAACAGCCTTACTGCTGATATGAAGCAAGTTTTAGTGGTCTAGAGAGATGATCAAACCAGCCACCATGTTCCCTTAAGCCAAAGCCTAGTACAGAGCAAGGCCTTAAGTCTCTGATTTTTGGAAAGCTGAGAGAGGTAAGGAAGCTGCAGAAGAAAAGTCTGAAGCTTGAAGAGGCTGGTTCACGGGATCATGAAATTTAAGGAAAGAAGTCATCTCCATAACATAAAAGTGAAAGGCAAACCAGCAAGTGATGATGCAAAAGCCGTAGCAAGTTATCCAGATGATCTAGCTAAGATAATTAATGAAAGTGGCTACACTAAACATAGATTATCAGTGTAGATGGAATAGCTTTCTATTGGAAGAAGATGCCACCTATGACCTTCATAGCTAGAGAGGAGAAGTCAATGCCTAGTTTCAAAGTTTCAAAGAACAATCTGACTCTCTTGTTAGGGGCTAATGAAGCTGTCGACTTTAAGGTGATAATAATACTCATTTACTGTTCTGAAAATCCTAGGTGGTCTAAGAATTGTGCTAAATCTACTCTACTTGTACTCTATAAGTGGAACAGCAGAGTCTGGAGGACCCTGATCTGTTTATAACAAGGCTCACTGAATATTTTAAGCCTACTGCTGAGAATGACTGCTTGGAAAAAAAAAAAAAAAACCTTTTCAAAATATTACTACTCAATGACAATGTATTTAGTTAACCAACAGTTCTAATGACAGATGCACAATGACATGAATGCTGTTTTCATATCTGCTAACACATAACTGATTCTATAGTCCATGGGTCAAGGAGTTATTTCAACTTCCAAGTCTTTCATGGTAAAACAATCATCTACTGATGATTAGCAATTTCACTCTTAGGTGTTTATACGAGAGAAACAGAAACATACACCCACAAAAAGACTTGTATACAAACATTCATTTTTTTCATGGGGAAAAAAAACAAACGTCCACTGAGAGGTGAATGAATAAACAAACTTGTGTATATTCATGCCCAGCAAGTTAAGAAATGAACTACAGGAATAACATAAAATGGATGAAAACATATAATGTTGAGTGAAAGAACACGGACATAAAAGGGTACACACTGCACAATTCCATTTCTTTTCAGTTCATGAAGAACAAAACTAAACTATGGTGAGAGAAATCACAAAGTGTTCAGCTCCTGATGGGTGGTGGCTGAGACTGACCAAAGGGACATAAGGAAACTCCTTAGGGTGACTACACTGTTCTCTGTCTTGTTTCAATGTATACAATGATCACATATGTAAATTATTACATGTACATAATACTTAAATGAAAATTAAGCTTCTATTAAAAAGATATATTCTAAAAGAAAGAGTAATAGGAACAAAAATCAAAGTTTCAATGCCTCTGTTTTCAGGATGCTTACCTGTCTAAGAGCTGATCATGTTTTTCTAGAGCATTCTTTTCAGCCATCACTGCTCGGTCCTTTTCAGCCACAGCATTATCCCTTGCTTCTCGGAGGTTTCTAAAATTTAAATATATATTTCAGTTATTTCAAACACACAGTATCCATCGTCTAAAGACTCATAAATGGAGTCGGACTAACTGATAATCTTAGGGATGCCCTAGGGGTTGGGTGATCCACAGTGCAAGTAACATGAATACACCTGGCTTGGTGAGTTTCTCTAACAGCACACAGCGGCACAGGTACAAATAAGCTCTAATCTTTAAGTGTCATGCTACCTTTCGCCACAATTTTTCTCAACATGGTTGAAGACAGGCTGGCTGGTTTGTATATATAGCAACTCATTTAACCCTGCCATAATGTAACGCTGCTGCTGCTGCTAGGTCACTTCAGTTGTGTCCGCCTCTTAGTGAACCCATGGACAGCAGCCTACCAGGCTCCTCTGTCCATGGGATTTTCCAGGCAAGAGTACTGGAGTAGCGTGATAGTGCCTTCTCTGCATAATGTAATGAGGTAGGTATAACTACCAAGATATTATCCACAAGAAAGCTGAGGTTTTGAGAAGCTAGTAAATATAAAATACAATTTCACAGTGAGAGATGTAGATATAGAGATATGATATAGAGATTAAAAAAATCCAAATGGAAATGAAGTTTGGTATATGAGCAAGAGAACTGATGAACTGATGGATCCTGGGTCTCACTTGGAGAGGAAAGGAAGAGAACACGGCAGGACTGAGATTAGAAGGCAAGGGACAAAGGACTTGAGGTCCTGATAAGATAACCCAAAGATTACCTAGAAGTGGTTGTGCAGGCAGGACGGAAGACCAGAAACTGCTGTCAAAGGATGGTGATTCAGAGGTAGAGTAGTGCCTTCAGCCTTGGAATTTTAGTTCATAAAATGGAGGGTGTGACATAAGAATAGCTAAATGAAGCAGAGCTGAGATGAAGGTCAATGTTCATGCAGGGCTCAAGGAAGTATGAGGCCACAGTATTAGTCACTCACTTACAGTGCCGATGATAACAGGAAGTGAAATTGACAAAAAGATACACTGAGTGACAGTTAAGGGGAATGTCCAAAAGGTGGAAGATAACAACAGTGAGAAATTAGGAGTGATACAACCAGATCAGTTCAGTCACTTCAGTTGCTCATTCATGCCCAACTCTGCGACCCCATCGACTGCAGCACGCCAGGATTCCCTCCATCACCAACTCCCATAGCCTACACACACTCATGTCCATCGAGTCGTTGATGCTATCCAACCATCTCATCCTCTGTTGTTCCCTTCTCCTCCTGCTCTCAGTCTTTCCCAGCATCAGGGTCTTTTCATATGAGTCACTTCTTTGCATCAGGTAGCCAAGGTATGGGAGTTTCAGCTTCATCATCAATCCTTCCTGAAATTCAGATTAAGGACTGATTTCCTTCAGGATGGACTGGTTGGATGTCCTTGCAGTCCAAAGGACTCTCAAGAGTCTTCTTCAACACCACAGTTCAAAAGCATCAGTTCTTCAGTGTTCAGCTTTCTTTATGGTGCAACTCTCACATCCATACATGATTATTGGAAAAACCGTAGCCTTGACTAGACGGACCTTTGTTGGCAAAGGAATGTCTCTGCTTTTTAATATGCTGTCTAGGTTGGTATAACTTTTCTTCCAAGGAGTAAGCGTCTTTTAATTTCATGGCTGCAGTCACCATCTGCTGTGATTTTGGAGCTCAAAAAAATAAAGTCTGCCACTGTTTCCACTGTTTCCCCATCTAGTGGCAATGAAGTGATGGGACCAGATGCCATGATCTTAGTTTTCTGAATGTCGAGCTTTAAGCCAACTTTTTTACTCTCCTCTTTCACTGTCATCAAGAGGCCCTTTAGCTCTTCTTCACTTTCTGCCATAAGGGTGGTGTCATTTACATATCTGTGGTTATTGATATTTCTCCCGGAAATCTTGGTTCCAGCTTGTGCTTCATCCAGCCCAGCGTTTCTCATGATGTACTCTGCATATAAGTTAAACAAGCAGGGTGACAATATACAGCCTTGACATATTCCTTTTCCCATTTGGAACCAGTCTGTTGTTCCATGTCCAGTTTTAACTGTTGCTTCCTGACCTGTATACAGGTTTCTCTGGAGGCAGGTAAGGTGGTCTGGTATTCCCATCTCTTTCAGAATTTTCCACAGTTTATTGCGATCCACACAGTCAAAGGCTTTGGCATAGTCAATAAAACAGAAATAGATGTTTTTCTGGAACTCTCTTGTTTTTTCAATGATCCAAAGGATGTTGGCAAGTTGATCTCTGGTTCCTCTGCCTTTTCTAAAACCAGCTTGAACATCTGGAAGCTCACGGTACATGTATTGCTGAAGCCTGGCTTGGAGAATTTTGAGCATTACTTTGCTAGCGTGTGAGATGAGTGCAATTGTGCGGTAGTTTGAGCATTCCTTGGGATTGCCTTTCTCTGGGATTGGAATGAAAACTGACCTTTTCCAGTCCTGTGGCCACTGCTGAGGTTTCCAAATTTGCTGGCATATTGAGTGCAACACTTTCACAGCATCATCTTTTAGGATGTGAAATAGTTCAATTGGAACTCCATCACCTCCACTAGCTTTGTTCATAATGCTTCCTAAGGCTCACTTGACTTTGTATTCCAGGATGTCTGGCTCTAGTTGAGTGATCATACCATCATGATTATCTGGGTCATGAAGATCTTTTTTATACAGTTCTTCTGTGTATTCTTGCCACTTCTTCTTAATATCTTTTGCTTTTGTTAGGTCCATACCATTTTCGTCCTTTATTGAGCCCATCTTTGTAGGAAATGTTCCCTTGGTATCTGTAATTTTCTTGAAGAGATCTCTAGTCTTTCCCATTCTATTGTTTTCCTCTATTTTTTTGCACTGATCACTGAGGAAAGCTTTCTTATTTCTCCTTGCTATTTTTAGAACTTTGCATTCAAATGGGTATATCTTTTTTTTTTCTCCTTTCATTTTGCTTCTCTTCTTTTCACAGCTACTTGTAAGGTCTCCTCAGACAGCCATTTTGCTTTTTTGCATTTCTTTTTCTTGGGGATGGTCTTGATCCCTGTCTCCTGTAATGTCACGAACCTCCATCTATAGTTCATCAGACACTCTATCAGATCTAGTCCCTTAAATCTATTTCTCACTTCCACTGTATAATCATTACAGATTTGATTTAGGTCATACCTGAATGGTCTAGTGGTTTTCCCTACTTTCTTCAATTTCAGTCTGAATTTGGCAATAAGGAGTTCATGATCTGAGCCACAGTCAGCTCCAGGTCTTGTTTTTGCTTCTCCATCTTTGGCTGCAAAGAATATAATCAGTCTGATTTCAGTGTTGACCATTTGGTGATGTCCACGTGTAGAGTCATCTCTTGTGCTGTTGGAAGAGGGTGTTTGCTATGACCAGTGTATTCTCTTGGCAAAACTCTATTAGCCTTTTGCCCTGCTTCATTCTGTACTCCAAGGCCAAATTTGCCTGTTTTTCCAGGTGCTTCCTGACTTCCTACTTTTGCATTCCACTCCCCTATAATGAAAAGGACATCTTTTTTGGGTGTTAGTTCTAAAAGGTCTTGTAGGTCTTCATAGAACAGTTCAACTTCATCTTCTTCATCCTTACTGATCGGGGCATAGGCTTGGATTACCGTGATATTGAATGGTTTGCCTTGGAAACGAACAGAGATTATTCTGTCATTTTCGAGACTGCATCCAAGTACTGCATTGTGGATTCTCTTGTTGACATGATAGCTACTCCATTTCGTCTAAGGGATTCCTGCCCACAGTAGTAGATATAATGGTCATCTGAGTTAAATTCACCCATTCTAGACCATTTTAGTTTGCTGATTCCTAAAATGTTGATGTTCACTCTTGTCATCTCCTGTTTGACCACTTCCAATTTGCTTTGATTCATGAACCTAACATTCCAGGTTCCTATGCAATATTGCTCTTTACAGCATTGGATCTTGCTTCCATCACCAGTCACATCCACAACTGGGTGTTGTTTTTGCCTTGGCTCTGTCCTTCATTCTTTCTGGAGTTCTTTCTCCACTGATCTCTAGTAGCATATTGTGCACCTACCAACATGGGGAGTTCATCTTTCAGTGTCCTATCTTTTTGCCTTTTCATACTGTTCATGAACAGTATACAGCCAGATAGGGGCCTTCAAAAATCAAATCCTATTTGGTTTTTTATCACAGTAGACGTTTGGATCAAGAAAAATACCAACAGTAAGTTTCTTTCAGAGTCATTCAATTTTTTAAAAAAATCCTCTTCTCTAATAGAGCTATAACATTAGTAAATTTGGCATATAATGTAAATGATTGTGTTCACTTAATCCCTAGAAATCCTTGGTGTTGTATTTTCTAGTCTACGGTTGAGTAAATTGTTTAGAGGGTTTAAATCCCTGGGTCCAAGTAGGAGTTTTAGTGTTAAAGCCATAATTTGAGTTCAGCTGTGTTTTATTCCAAAGTGAGTATTTTCTACATTATATCACCTATCTCCCATAAAGAACAGGACTGGATATCAGAATTTGGTTTTTATTACTGATGGAGAATGTCAGGAGGGAGCCATGAAAACCCACACAATTTGAATAAATCTATCTAATAACTATTAGACAGAAATGTTTAGGGGTCATATTTGTTGTGCCAGTGGCTTGATGTCATCTTTTGTACAGTGATGCTAACAAGAAATTTAAAATTTAGAAAGTGTCAACAAAGAGAGATTCATTAGTAAAATAGCTTATGAGCCAGAAATAAAATAATTAAAAAAAAACTGGAGTATAGACAACTCTTACTAAATAGAAAATAACTTCTGCATACTATTATCTAAGTGGAGGTACCTTTTAAAATATACATCACAAAATGGCATGTCATTATTTTCTGGTATCATTTTGATTGCAAAGACCTTCAAAAATATTCAATTATTATCAAATTAACTGAGATACAAAATTTTTAATTTTATAGATAGAATGATATCCTCAGAATATATTAAACACACATATTTTTCATCACTAAATGATCTACATATTTTAGTTATTCTGTCATTATGAGATTTACATTATA